ATCAACTTTCGGTTTGCCCCGCCACTCACTTGAAGATGTTCAGGCTAGAGCCCTGCACGGGCCTCAAATATATGACGTTCAGGCCCTAGCCCCGCCCTTGTCCGACAGCTTATCAGAATTACCGTCCCAAGCCCGTCTTTGCGGCCCGTGAGACTTGCACTTGGACCATAGTGCGGCCCAGTGGAAAAAAAGGTTGAGAACCACTGCTCTAGTATAATGCTTAACCTGTCTACAACAACTCTGAAAAGGATTATCTGAATGTCTCAGTGGAAAGTGAGGATTTTTTATTTTTTTTTAAAGCCTCTGTGACTCTGGACGTCTACACTGGACTCTTAATAAAGATGGCCGAGCAGACAGATTCCACAGCACTTACCTCATAAAATAAGCATTTACGGACTCCCACCCCATCTGTGCATGAGGTTAATGAAGCTGCAGCAAGACCTCTTGTTTATTTTCTTTCCCTCCTTTGGCCCTATCTGAGCTGCTTTTGTCACACTCTCATACACTTTGAACTAGGAACGAATCAAACATCCTGATTCGCTCAAGGCTCTTTGCCCCTTTTTGCCCCCAGCTGTGGCTGTCTGTTACTCTGTCAATAGGATATATGCAGCTTGAGCTTTCCTGTCCCACTGCCAAGGCACTAACTTCACACCGCCACAGCTAAACATTTGGACTTCAAAAAGGCCTTGATCGCTGTGATCTGTTGAGATCTTTAAGCCGCTGCTGTCCATTTGTCATTGAACACTCCAAAGAGAAAGGAAAACTTGAAATCGCATCATATGACCCCTTTAATACACCTTTTGCTAAAAAGAAACCTGTTTTTCCTAATGGCTGTAATTGTCTGCTACAAGGCAGGAAATCACACTAATTATTCATCTTACTCTTTAAAGATGTTATTTAACTCTGAGATAAATTACAGATTTCCCAGTGTGCCCTTTTGCAGATATAGCCTGGGTGGCTAAATGTGGACTTCTTCTGCTTCTGAGAGACCTTGAACTGCTCATTAACTGAGCACAATTTGGGGTAATGGGCATCCTATCTGAGCCACTGGTAATAAGTATGTGTCAGCCAGGAAACTACTGAACAAAATGCTTTTGTACCAAGTGCCAAATCTCTTGGGCCCCAGCCGAGGAGTCCTTTAAAATGGGGGATATGAGCTTTGCACACTCATCTTTGGGAATCAGCAGGATCTGGAATGCCAGAATATACTCTGTGGCTCAGTAGAAAAAAAAAATATTGTTGTGATTTTGTTTTTCTTTAAGACATGGAGGCATCTAGATTGATGTGTAAATTAGTTTTAATGTCTTCAGAATACTTCTTATTATAAGTATAAATGGTGTGCTTGCTAGCATGAAACCTAATATGCATCCACTGTGATGTGGCCATCCTCTACTAACCTCAGTGAAGACTAGTTTGGAAAACTATTTTATAATAATATTCTTCTAATGTCAATTAAGGGTTCCTACAGTCATGAAAAACCTGGGAATATTAAGTTTTTATTATTTATTTTTAAAAATAATAATTGTCGTCGTCATCGCCATCTTTGAGATTATTTAATATTTTAACATTGAAAGTATTTAATTTTATTTATTTAATATTATTTAACCTTTAAAATTTTAAAATTTTATGATTGATGTAATTATATGATTGTATGGTGATGATGGTTGTTTTATTCATTATAAATTTTATTAAATATGCTCAGATTTGTAATTGTAATTTGTAATTTTGCAGAAATTGCTCTTTGTGATTTCAGTCTCTATAAAAACCTTATCCAGTAATCACGAATAACTGGAATAATCAGGCAAAGATCATTTGAAAATCATAGAGTTATTGGTCAAAAAGGTGTGGAAACACTTCATTGGAATCTTATAGCCTTGTTCTGCGCATCTTCAGTTTTTATAAAAATTTTAAAATTTCAAGATCTTCCTTTAACTTCGACAATGTTCAACATTCCGAATATATATTTGGGAGCATTAATGCCATTTCAATGTTGCCATACTAATTTATGATTTGGTTATCATCATATACTGACTTATAAACAGCAGTATGTATTTCAAGAAGTGCAAATCTGTTTTTTTGTTTCTTAAATTTTCTTGTAAAACCCTTCAGTTGTTTGTGTGAAATTTTGTTTCTTGTGGCTGTTCTCATCCGAAGCCAAGCCACCAAACGACTACTCCAGTCCTTCTTTTCCATGCGCCTTCCTCTTTTCCTCTTTCCCTCTTTCCCTTCATGGCTGCATCTCATCCCGACTCTGTGGGTGTACCATGCACATTCCAGCTCTTGAATCCATGCCACCGCCACAGAGGAATCCCGGACTGTGGCTTTTGATTGGTCATCATTTGTCTGGCTTTCAAACCGAATTTAAACATGTCAGCATCTGATAATGTTGTCAACTTCTGCTGTTACTTTTGCATTGAAACCACTGATTTTTATTTTTTTTGAGTTGTTTATTGAACTTTTGTGTTTTCTTTCTGTTCACCCCATTAGACTTTGCAAACATAAATCAAGAGTAATTGTTACCAAATGTTCGATACATTGTTCTCAAAGCTTGGAGCTTGGTTTATTCATCGCTCATTGAACCCTGAGACTTGCACATTTTTCCATGCGAAATGCTTTTCCACACAAGTCTGCGTTTGATTCTGTTGAGAAAAAAAAAAGTGCTGACTGAAGTTTTGCAGTAAAGGTTTTCTGTAACCTCTGATGTGTACTTCAGTAGCGCTCTGTGTTTGGGGAGTTAAGTAGTGTGTGTTTTTCACCAAATAGAAGTGCAGTTGAGCGGCACTACAAAGAGAATAAATCTTCCAAATGTTCCTTGGTGCGGAGTAGTGCTTGGTTTTGTCATCTGTCTGTAGGTTTTCTGAATCTTCAGAATACGCTGAATAAAAGCTTGCTATTTGTAATGTTATTCACGTGTCTGGTTATTCCCCTTTTCAGCGTTCCAGAGGAGTACAAGTGTGGAAAATCATTGGGGCCTGTGGAGTCCCTGCAGGAACATCCGCAAGACTCTGATAAAATCCTCATTGGTTACAGCAGAGGTCTGGTTGTACTCTGGGACCTCAACAGTCGGCATGTAGTCAACCTCATCTTGGGAAAGCAGGTGGGTTTGTGTGCAAGTCGGTTTGATGTCTCTCAAATGGCTTTCAACACTCTTTTGGGATTGTGTGGTTGAAAGGCATTAAATTAAAACAGAAACGTAGACATCAGTGTTTTAAAGTCTCTGTAAATGTCAGATAATTGCACCGTGGACAAAGTGATCAGGTCAAGAGATCTGTCCGTGATTCATTAAAAACTCTTTTAAAACCATCTTTAAATCATCAATGCTTGGTGTTAAGATGTCCAGATGGTTTAATTCAAACCTTTTGACTTCCTTTCATCGTCTTTGGTCTTTTTTTGACACTGTGTATTGTGTGGGACTGTCACTCTTGTAGCAGCTGGAGAGTTTGGTCTGGGAACGGTCCGGGAACAGCTTTGTTAGTTCCCATAGTGATGGCGGATACATGGTGTGGGCTGTCAGCAGCAGCAATCCCTGCACTCATGACCCCATCTCATCCACAGTACCATATGGTGAGCCGAAACACATGCCAATTACACACCCTTCCCTTTCTCTCTTTGGTTCTCACAATCACACATGGATTGTTTGTTAGCAGTAAGTTTGTTTACATGTGCATTTATAATGGTCAAGTTACATTTTCCATCTGTCTGTCCAAGTGTACAATATCGTTCAAAAGTTTGGGGTCCGATTTTTTTTCTATTATTAAAGGGGTACTATTATGCTCTTTTACAAAGTCTTGATTTTGTTTTGGGGGTGTACTAGAACAGGCTTTCATACTTGGTTGTTCGAAAAGCACATTATTTTTCACATATTTTACATTAAAGCTAGCGTGTCTCCGACATAGTGATAACACTCGTTGCCTTCTCTAGTGCAGCTCAACCAGGTCTCGTCCCATTCGTCGATCTTTGTGATATCACAAATCCCGGAAAATGTGCGTTGTAGTCCAAACGAGTCGTTCGTTGTAGTTTTTGAAAAGTGATTTCTGTGAAATAAAATATCTCCTTTTGAAGTGGACTTTGAGCTTTGTAACATTTTTTATGCTCAAACAGCAACATTACAGACTAACTAAAGTTGAAAAAGTGAAAAAGCATAATAGGACCCCTTTAAAAAATGTGTACTTTTAATTTAGCAAGGTTGCATTAAATTGATCAAACAGTGACAGTAAAAACGATTATTTCAGATAAATGCTGTTCTTTTGAACTTTGTATACGTCAGAGGTTCCTGAAAAAATGTTTTACAGTTTCCATAAAAATATTAAGCAGCACAATTGTTTTCAGCATTGATAATAAGAAATGTTTCTCGTGCAGGAAATCAGGATATTAGGATGATTTCTGAAGGATCATGTTACACTGAAGACTGGAGTAATGATGCTGAAATTTTTTGGATCACAGGAATAAATTACATTTTAAAATATAGTAAAATAGAATGTGACTCTTTCACTTTGTAATAATATTTCACAATATTACTGCTTTTTTTTACTGTATTGATCAAATAAATGGAGCGTTTGTGGGTGTAAGTGATATCTTTCAAAAACATTAAGAAAAATCGTACTAACCCAAACTTTTGAGGCTAATTGTTGTCCGATTAATGTAAATGCATGTTGGACAAAGCCAAGCTGCAATCGCATGGTCCAGGTCTAGTACAAGTCAGACTAATGCATTTACATTTTAAAAAGACTAGCTATTGTTGTATTCCGACTGAAATCAAACATTTAACATGCATGTAAATGCACGTCATGTTTTAGGTTGTTTTTTTAATGCATTTATAGTAATTCCAGTAGCCACAAGCTCATAGACGGCTGGTCATGCTGTAATGTTTGCTTAACTTGCACAATGTCAGGAAATGTTGTTCTATACCAAAGCTTAGAGTCCGTTCAACTTTTGTAATAAGCCATTTAAAATCCTTCTCCAGGCCTATTAAAGGGATCGTAAACCTCAAATGCACTCACTTTTAACTTGATGGTTTGTTGACACAAACCGCTTGGGGGATCTACGGATATTTTCCAATTTTCAACATGTACTCTGCCAAGATTTCTGTAGTTTTGGTGGTTTCTCTTAAACTCAGTTTGTCATTCTGTTTTCCTCATTTTTGTGTATTCATCTCAGGCCCCTTTCCTTGCAAAGCCGTGAACAAGATCCTGTGGAGGACAACAGAGTCAGGGTGCGTGCAGTAATGTGTGAGAAATGAAATCCCATGATCGCATGTTTTAGTTCTCTCAGGAGGGTCTCCTCTGTTGTGTCTGTAGAGCTCCTCTAGTGTTGTTCAGTGGCGGTATGCCCAGAGCCAGCTATGGAGACAGACACTGCTTAACCATCCTCCAGGACAGCAGCCACGTCACCCTGGACTTCACCTCGCGTGTCATAGACTTCTTCACCATTAACTGCACAGACAAAGATAAGGGTGAGCAGGCCACCCTTTGGCCCGGTGGTGTGGACTAGTGTTTAAAGATTTGGGCTGATAACTGAAAAGTAGTGATCGACCGATACCGATTTTTTATAACTGATACCGATACCAATTATTTGCATGTTTATGTGCCCGATAACCGATATGCAGAAACAATATTTATTTACTGTTATAAAGTTAATAAATGAAAGTAAGAACATACTTTACTTTGGTTTTTCCTCTTTTCAGTCATTTTTTATTTTTTTTTTAAGTGTTGAAAATTAGCAGTCTTTCATGTTAAATTTAATCTTCATATTACAACAATAAAAAAACATTATTTATAAAAAGCATCAACAGCAACAACACTAATATTAATTGTAACCACTCTAAGTTTGTCTGCCTTGGGAAAGCTAGCGTGTCTGCGACATAGTGATAACACTCGTTGCCTTCTTTAGTGCAGCTCAACCAGGTCTCGTCCCATTCGTCGATCTTTGTGATATCACAAATCCCGGAAAATATGTGTTGTAGTCCAAACGAGTCGTTCGTTGTAGTTTTTGAAAAGTGATTTCTGTTAAATAAAATATCTCCTTTTGAAGTGGACTTTGAGCTTTGTAACATTTTTTATGCTCAAACAGCAACATTACAGACTAACTAAAGTTGAAAAAGTGAAAAAGCATAATAGGACCCCTTTAAAAAATGTGTACTTTTAATTTAGCAAGGTTGCATTAAATTGATCAAACAGTGACAGTAAAAACGATTATTTCAGATAAATGCTGTTCTTTTGAACTTTGTATACGTCAGAGGTTCCTGAAAAAATGTTTTACAGTTTCCATAAAAATATTAAGCAGCACAATTGTTTTCAGCATTGATAATAAGAAATGTTTCTCGTGCAGGAAATCAGGATATTAGGATGATTTCTGAAGGATCATGTTACACTGAAGACTGGAGTAATGATGCTGAAATTTTTTGGATCACAGGAATAAATTACATTTTAAAATATAGTAAAATAGAATGTGACTCTTTCACTTTGTAATAATATTTCACAATATTACTGCTTTTTTTTACTGTATTGATCAAATAAATGGAGCGTTTGTGGGTGTAAGTGATATCTTTCAAAAACATTAAGAAAAATCGTACTAACCCAAACTTTTGAGGCTAATTGTTGTCCGATTAATGTAAATGCATGTTGGACAAAGCCAAGCTGCAATCGCATGGTCCAGGTCTAGTACAAGTCAGACTAATGCATTTACATTTTAAAAAGACTAGCTATTGTTGTATTCCGACTGAAATCAAACATTTAACATGCATGTAAATGCACGTCATGTTTTAGGTTGTTTTTTTAATGCATTTATAGTAATTCCAGTAGCCACAAGCTCATAGACGGCTGGTCATGCTGTAATGTTTGCTTAACTTGCACAATGTCAGGAAATGTTGTTCTATACCAAAGCTTAGAGTCCGTTCAACTTTTGTAATAAGCCATTTAAAATCCTTCTCCAGGCCTATTAAAGGGATCGTAAACCTCAAATGCACTCACTTTTAACTTGATGGTTTGTTGACACAAACCGCTTGGGGGATCTACGGATATTTTCCAATTTTCAACATGTACTCTGCCAAGATTTCTGTAGTTTTGGTGGTTTCTCTTAAACTCAGTTTGTCATTCTGTTTTCCTCATTTTTGTGTATTCATCTCAGGCCCCTTTCCTTGCAAAGCCGTGAACAAGATCCTGTGGAGGACAACAGAGTCAGGGTGCGTGCAGTAATGTGTGAGAAATGAAATCCCATGATCGCATGTTTTAGTTCTCTCAGGAGGGTCTCCTCTGTTGTGTCTGTAGAGCTCCTCTAGTGTTGTTCAGTGGCGGTATGCCCAGAGCCAGCTATGGAGACAGACACTGCTTAACCATCCTCCAGGACAGCAGCCACGTCACCCTGGACTTCACCTCGCGTGTCATAGACTTCTTCACCATTCACTGCACAGACAAAGATAAGGGTGAGCAGGCCACCCTTTGGCCCGGTGGTGTGGACTAGTGTTTAAAGATTTGGGCTGATAACTGAAAAGTAGTGATCGACCGATACCGATTTTTTATAACTGATACCGATACCAATTATTTGCATGTTTATGTGCCCGATAACCGATATGCAGAAACAATATTTATTTACTGTTATAAAGTTAATAAATGAAAGTAAGAACATACTTTACTTTGGTTTTTCCTCTTTTCAGTCATTTTTTATTTTTTTTTTAAGTGTTGAAAATTAGCAGTCTTTCATGTTAAATGTAATCTT